ATAGTGCAATTTCAGATGAATATGTTGTATTTCTTCAGGAACATGAGGATGGAATTGGTTTGACTGAGGAAGATCATATCAACTTTAGTCAAGCTATATGGAGTCCAGACTCTCTTAAGTAGGTTGATTCCATGAAGGATGAGATGAAGTCGATGGCTGACAATGATGTTTGGGATCTCGTTAAATCACCTGAAGGAAAGAAACCCATTGATTGTAAATGGATATTTAAAACCAAAAGGGATTCAAAGGGTAACATTGAGAGATATAAAGCTCGTTTTGTCGCAAAAGGCTTTACTCAAAAGGAAGGAATTGACTATAAAGATACTTTCTCTCTAGTTTCTTCGAAGGACTCTCTTAGGATTATGATGGCATTAGTAGCTCATTTTGACTTAGAATTGCATCAGATGGATGTAAAGGATGTGTTTCTAAATGGAAACATTGAAGAGACAATATATATGGTGCAATCTGAAAACTTTGTGTCAAGATACCCAACGTCTGTGGTTTGCAAACTAAAGAAATTCATCTATGGACTTAAACATGCTTCCCTTCAATGGTATTACAAATTTCATCAAGTAATATCCTCATTTGGTTTTGAAGCTAATCTGGTTGATAACTGTGTATACCAAAAGTTCAGTGGAAGTAAATTCATTTTCTTGGTACTATATGTAGATGATATCCTTTTGGCAAGCAACAATATAGGCTTATGGCATGAAACTAAGAGATTTCTCACAAATAATTTGAGATGAAAGATCTTGGGGACGCCTCTTTTATCTTAGGAATGAAAATACTTAGAGACCGTTCTAGAGGTATTTTAGGATTGTCACAAAGGAGCTATATTAATACAGTTCTGGATAGATTCTCCATGAAAGATAGTAAACCAGGAGACACACTTGTTGCTAAAGGAGATAAGTTTTGTCTCAAATAGTGTCCCACTACGGATCTTGAAAAGGAAGAGATGCATAAGGTTCCATATGCTTCAGCTGTGGGAAGTCTTATGTATGCTCAAGTATGCACCTGTCTCGACTTAGCATTTATTGTAGGAGTTCTTGGCAGATATCTAAGCAACCCTGGTATGCAGCACTGCGTAGCAGTAAGACGTATAATGCGCTACCTGAAGAGAACAAGAGATCTTGTGATCACTTATCAAAAGTCAGATAACTTGGAGAATATTGGGTATTCTGACTCAGATTTTACAGGATGTTCAGATAGCAAACGTTCCACATCTGATTACATTTTTCTCTTGGCTGGAGGAGCCGTCTCCAGGAAGTCTTTCAAACAGACTTTAGTGGCTCCTTCTACCATGGTAGCAGAGTTTGTGACTTGCTTTGAGGCATCAAATCATGTAATTTGGCTGCGGAATTTTGTCACAAGCCTACGCATCATTAGGAGTATTGAAAGGCCCTTGAAGGTATATTGTAATAATAGTGCAGTTATGCTCTACTCCAACAATAATATGAGTTCTACAAAATCAAAATTTATTGATATCAAGTATTTTGTTGTGAAAGAAAGAGTTTAGAAGAAACAAAATTTGATAGAACATATAAGGACAGACTCAATGTTTGCTGATCTACTAACCAAAGGTTTGATACCTAAAGCTTTTCATGGGCATGTTGATCACATGGGTCTTGGTTTTGAGATTGCCTTAGATTAGTGGGAGTTCTTTTTCCCCCTTATTTTTCTATGTTCTATACTTTAGTTTTATTTTGGTACAAACTCTATGTTATGTTTAATTTTCTGCAGAAATAAAAAAAACTTATGAGGTACTATTGTTATAATAATGTCAAGTTATTTTTTGTTAACTGCAAACATTATAAGTTGAATTGCACCTACGGAACTTTAATTTGATCTCACTAAAGACTCCAGTATGACCAGTTGGAAATTTGCATGATTTATAGATCATAATGCATAAAATTTCCATGCCACTCATCTATATTGATCTATGTCATCAAGTACATTGATGTGGTGGTCGTCGGAGTTCTATCACGTTATACGTTAGTAACGACAGTCGCGATGATTTCATTATTGATGTATGAGGTAGACCAGATTGTAAAGTTGAAATCTAAAGATAAATAACATTCAGATGCACGCCTAAAGAATTTATATAATATATTAAATCTGAAGCAGTGAATTATATTATGACATGTGTTAACAAAATTCTATTCCATTTGTGCCACATCATCACATAATCCTATGTGGCACCTCCAAAATCTTACTTTCACTTTTCAAATAGACAAATACAGTTTTTTTTCTCTATTGGAGGTTATGGGTTTGAATATCGAAAAAGACCAAAAAAATCTTTTTTTTTATAAATAATCTAACAAGACAATTACTATTTCAACTATCTATATTCTTCTAAATTCCAATTTTAAAATACACATGTGAATCGAAAGTTCTAAACACTAAAATTAGAATCATATTTTCTTTATCTATATAATATATTAAATCTGAAACAATTGATTATATTATGATACATGTTAACATAATTTCGAGTTCGAATCTCGAAAAAGACAAAAAAATCTTTTTTTTTAATAATCTAACAAGACGATTATTATTTCAACTACCTATATTCTTCTAAATTCCAATTTTAAAATACACATGTGAATCAAAAGTTGTAAACACTAAAATTAGAATCATGTTTTCTTTAAAAAAATAAAAAAATAAATACTTAAAATAAATTTTTTTAATCTCAAAGTAGTAATAGTAAAAATATATATTAATCTATCAATTATCTATTAACTTAGATAAATATATTACTTTCATAAATATATATTACCAAAGTCAACTATATTTTACTCTTTTTCATTTATAATAATGACCATATATAGTATAATAAAAATATTAAAAATAATATTTAAAAAAACAACCCTCGTGTTTCAATTGATATAAACAATAAAATCAGATAAATTTTTACAAACTCATTAATAAATTTAAAATAATTATATAAAAAAATAATTAAATTGTTATAGCAATTAGCATTTTCAACTCTTTATTCATTAGATGACTAAAATTTGACAAAAATAGGTATAAAGTTTATAAAGCTAATAAAATTTTATTTGATAATAATTAAAAATAAAATTTTAATTTTATAAATTCAGAACTTTGACAACTTAAAATTAAATATCTAAATCAAAGAAAACTACCATAAAAGACATCATAATCAAAACAAAACAAAAATCATTTTATAGTTATTTAAATTTGCAAAACTAATTACGAATATTTTCAACTTACACGCATATATTTATTTTTAAATTAAAATATATCTTTCATTTTATAAATTCTTATCTTTAATAAGTTAAAATTAAACATCTAGATCAAAGATAACTAATAAAAAGACATGATAATCAAAACAAACAAAAAAAATTATTTTATAGTTATTTAAATTTGTAAATTTAATTATGAATATCATTCTCAATTTACAAGCATGTATATTTTTTGAACTAAAGAATATATTAATTCAAAAACAATTTACACAAGATAATCGATCTTTCACGTCCAACCCCAAAATCAAAACAACCAAAAAACAGCACACCCCAAAATCAAAACAACCAAAAAACAGCACACCAAAAACAATCATGTATTTTATTTTCAAATAAAATATATCTTTTTATACGTGATTCATTCATATCATTGTCTCAATTATATTTCACATTAAATTATTGTAATATAAATTTATAGATAAATTTCTGCAATTCCTTTAATAAAATTAAAATAGCTATTTAAAAAAATAATTAAGCTACTATAAAAACTAGCATTTTCAACTCTTTATTCCTTAAATAACTAAAACTTGACAAAAAATATATAAATATTATTAAGGTAATAAAGTTTTATTTAATAATAATTACAAATAATGTTTTAATTTTATTTTATATTAAGAATAAATACACACTTTTAACAACTTAAAATTAAATTAATAAATCAAAGATAACTACTAAAATATACATGAGAATCAAACAAAATAAAATTATTTTATATTCATTTAAATATGCAAAATTAATTATGAATGTCATTCTCAATTTACAAGTATACATTTGTCTTTTAAATAAAATTTATCTTTTTATATATATGATTAATTTATATCATTGTTTCAATTATATTTCACAATAAATTTTTGTAATATAAATTTAGTAATCATGTATTTTTAAAACAAATTTTTAACCTATTTAAAACAATTAAAAACTAATATAATAATTTACAACTACGTATCGCGCAGATCGTAATCTAATTATGATACAATTATTAAGATATATTGGCCAAGTGAGAGATTGTTGGAATATTTTAATTATTTAGTCATATATTAGCATTTCAATAATTATGTGGTCAAATATATTTATTTAATTATATTAGCTATATTATGCCTAAAATAATTATGTGATCAATAATGTTAAAAAGGCTATTTAGATTTTATTTAGGAATTATTTAATTAATTAATTAAATAATTAGGTATAAGTGAATATTAGGATGACCCATTTGAAAATAATGAAAATCATAATTAGCGATCACATCGTATATAGGCTTTGGTTCCTAATATACCGCAAGTAAATTATCTATTCTCTCATCTGAAGAGTAATAAATGCATTAGAAATATCGGTTGAAGAAGAACTACATAAGCCATAAAGTATTCATTGTTTTTCTCTCAACTCTCATGATTAACACATAAAATATTCTTAAAATTATTTTATAGATCCTTCAATTTTATACATGCTTGTATGACTGTCAAATTTTTACATAAATTATACTGTCAAATTTTTACATAAATTATATTTATACTTTATGAACACGTATAAGGTCAATTAATTCTAAAAGAGCTATGACTTCTTTAACATCAATTCTAATCAATTCAATTTTCTCAAAGTTTATTTCTCTTTCTTGTACACAACCATCATTCGAAAATTTTAACTTTGAAATTTACAAACTATGTATAGAAAATTGAAAAATTACACGTTTGAACCAGCACCAAAACACAATAAAGAGAAAAGAAAAAACAAAGATGAACAATTATGTTATGTAGTTTTACAAGCATAGATCAACAATGAAAACTCATCTCTATTTATATCTTTCACATCCAATTTTTCCTCTAACCACAACCTATTATCCAAACCACTCCTAGTCCTAAACATAAACACAGCATAACCAGAAACACCTCTAAAAAACCAATTATGAACATCCCAAAGAAAATCCACACACAATCCATCCACAAAAATAGTTTCATTCCCTCTAAAATTCCACTTCAACCTCTTCACACAAATCACAATCTTCTTATCAATGTAAACATTCAAAACAGGTGATTTAAACCCTTCATTTTCACCACTGTATCTAATCAAAATATCATGAAACGTTCCACTTTCACAGAACTTAGTCTTACTTGTGTAATGAACTGTGTTACCTGAAAAATATTCACTTCTTGAAAAAAGTGAAACTTTACCTAAAAAAGTTCTTTTTTTCAGCTTCTTTGTTAAGTTTTCTTCAACTTTGTCACCTAGAATAATCACAATTTCTGAATCAACTAAAACTGTTAGATAAAATCCATCAACAGGTTCAGGACTAGTTTCATATTTTGCATTTGAAAGATCCCAAAAGACTTCAACTTTTGAATATCCATGATGAATATGTTCCACTTCAACCAACTTGCTTCCTTTTTTCCTTCTGAAAAGCCTTGAGTTTGTGTTGAGTCTGAAAACTCTTGCAGCCAGTGGATCTTCTTCTTCATTGAAGACTATTGTGAGTCCTTGATTTGAGTGGCTTTTACTCCAAGTAACTGTGATCAACATCTGTTTTTTGTTGGAGAGGATTGCTTTGTAGATTGATGAGACTGAGTTTTGTGTTGAAGGTGTGAGGTTTTGAGATATACAAGACTTGTTTGAATAGCTAGAACATGATGATGAGGAATGTGACACATTCACAGCATTCTCATTGAAACATGAAATTATGTTTGAGACATTCATTTTGAAGAGAAGGAAAAACAATGAGAGGAGAGAGAGAGAGAGGAGAACCTTGTTTTCTGACAAAACTATATTACAATATCATTTCTATTTAACTTCACATTCTACTATCTCTTTCTAACTATATTATATTAATGTCAACTTTAATGTGCATCATATGAGAAAGTAAAGAATAGGAGATTGAGCAAAAAGTAGGTTAACTATTTTTATAATATGTTTTGCCAGTTAATACTATGATTTAAAAATGGTAAGTATCATTTAAAAATTTAAAAGGAAGAAAAAAAGGCTTTATTGCTTGAAAAAGTTGGCCCTCCTCAATATGCTAGATATATCTTTTAGGTACTGTTTGTGACATGATCATATGTTGCTTTAAAGTCTTCAACATAAAAAAAAAACATGTTGCATTAAATTTGTACTTTGGTTTGGTGAGTATGGAGAATAATAAATAAGGAATAAGTGTCAATGATAATAGCTACTTGAAGTTATTCATCTAAATTCATACTTTCAGTGTTGATTTCATGTACTATCTTTTGGATTTTTTGGAATTGAAACTCCACAGATTCATCAGTCATCTAGTATTTAAGGTAGTGCCTCACTTTTTTTTTATTAAATATGATTTTGATCCTATAAAATTATCAAATTATCAAAGTATATTTTTAGTCCATATATAAAATCGTATGTTTTATTCTTTACAAAATTATTATACATGTAGTTTTAGTCTTTCATGTTAAATCAATGTGTATTTTTAAATGATTATTTTATAAATATTTTTAGAATGTTATAAAAAATTCCTTAAAAAAAATGAATTTAAAATTTGATTTCTAAGTTCAGATTTTCATTATTTTTATCATTATCTTAAAATTTAAAAATAAATATTTAATTTTTTTTATTTTAAAAAATTCTAAAATTTGATAAATAAATATTTTATAATATTTTAAACATGTATAGAAAAAATTATTTTAAAAAATTTTAAAATTTTAAAAATAATTAAACAGTTTTCAAAATTTTAAAAATTAACAAAGACTAATACTTTATATATATAAATTTTATAGAACTAAAATATATTATTTTTTTAATATAAACTAAAAATAAAATTTAAAATATTTATAAGGATCAAAAATATATTTAACCGTTTTATTCATTAACTTCGGGTCATACATTTTTCAGAGATACCCAAATGTCTTTGAAATTCTTGAAGGCACTATAATTTTTTCATTAACTTCGAGTTACATTTTTCAGAGCTTCCCAAATCTCTTTGAAATTCTTGAAGGCACTATAATAATTATATAAGGCATCAATCACACCATTCAGAATATAGCTTTTGTACATATAGTCATTATCATGACATATGAATACTTCTTAGTTTTTTTTTTTTCTTCCTTTTTTAGCGGTTGTGTCATCCACAACTTATGTGTTTGTAGTTAAGACTCTAAAAACCTTTTTCATTGTTAACAAAAAGATAATCTTTTGTTGTCACTGTTTGGAGTGACTTCGGTTAAACTTAAAAATATTATTGAAGTTAGAAACAGTTAACACGTTACTAATAACTTTTTCGATGGACATGGTAGAAAGAGATTATTTCAGGAAGAAAAGAACTAGCTAATTATAGAACAAGGATATCTAATATGTGCTTTATTTCAAAAATAGAATCCTAGAATGTGAAAGAAGCTCTTAATAATGAATGATGGGTCAATACTATGCAGGAAGAGTTTGTTCATTTTGAGAGAAATGAAGTATGGAAACTTGTTGCTAGACCTAACTTTGCAAATATCATTGGAACAAAATAGATTTACAAGAATAAGATTAATGAAAATGGATATGTTACTAGAAATAATGTTCTCCTTGTGGTCTAGGGCTACACTAAAATTGAAGGGATTGACTTCGACGAAACCTTCGTTGATGTTACTCATTTTGAAACTAATATATTTTTTGGTTGGATTGTTGTCTCTATATAAAAAGACCATCCACCTTGTGGGAGAGACATCTAAGAGAATAATTAAGTCATATGAGGGTTTATCAATTTGAGTATTGTATTATGTGTTATTGGTGTAAAACTCTACCGTTATTATTTTTTTCTACTTATGAGAGATAGAGTTTTTAGTTTGTACTCATGAAATTTGTCACATCCTAATCATTTATTCTTACAAACACTTGAAAAAGTGTTTAAGTGAAAGAAAAGGAATTTCATATTTAGAGCGACTTGAGTTGAAATTCATTGATAGTATTAAGAAAATAGAATTAAATTTAAAGAGTTCATATGATACCTTTGTGTTCTATTAACTACTTATAATTAATGATTTTTTTTCCTGTTGTGTTGCACTCCTTTAGATGTAAGTGATAATTACACCAAATTGGATTAACAATTTATTGTGTTTTTATTTATTATATATGTAACTGTTCACCGTTTAATTCATATCGAATTGTCTCGCTCATTGCTTTAATATTGTGTGTAACATCTTGTTATTAATCAAACATAACTATAGTTTTTGATGGTTTCAACAAGGCCTTAAATCCATATTATAATATATAATTTATCAAACATAATTTTATATAAATTTAAAATGTGTAACTATGTTTTGTTTAAATTGAAATTTAGTCAAAGTATCGACTAAAAACTCTCAAATGTGTTTATTTTCTCTTCAAGTGGTTACACTGAAGAAAAAATTGTCTCCCTCAACTATGAGTTTTTTAACTCTTATAAAAAGTATTAGGTATGGAATTTAGGGTGTTTAAATATTAAACCAAAAAATACATAAATTAAAGTAAAAAAATAAAGGAATCAAAATACTTTAAAAATATTGTTTGATTGATTGTGTGTTTGGATATACACAAGAAAATTATGTATAAGGAAGCATTAAACTCGAATAATTTTATGCGAGTAGTGCATAACTTTCGCTACTATAGGTACATGGCACTCTACATATTGTTGAAATATTTGATATAATATTATATAAAATTCAAGTTGTTAAATCCAAACTCAAGTTCAATTAAGATTTATTAGTTTATTTAGTGTATAAGTTAGTTGTATATAAATAGGCTAGTTTGTAAATCAATTTGTAACAATTCAAGTTAATAATACATTCTTTATTTCCTTTATTCTCTCTCTTTCTCCCATCACTAAAAGTGTCTCACGCACTAACAAATTAGTATTAGAGCTCTGGTTAGATTCTTGAACGTGTTTTCAAGAATCACATGTCAGAGATAGTATTTTCGAGACTGTGGGTCGTTTCACTAGCAGTTGTTGCAAAGATGAATGGTAACAATAGCATTCCAAATTCTCTTCTAACTCTTGACGGGAAGAATTGGATTCGATGGAGAAAACAAATGTAATCTTTGTTTGGTTTTCATGAAAATCTATAAGTGGTTACTGTTGTACCCCAATTTTTGCCCCTAAGATCCCTCATCATACTTTGTATGTTTTGCACATAGCATTGGTCTTGTGGTTATAAGATCGAAGAGCTTTGGCATTAGGGTTTCTCTCTCTGAATGGAGGTTGTCGTATTGCTCAAAATTGATTCAACTGGCGCTCTCATTTTTCTTGGCATGAGATTAGGGTTTTGGATCTCAAGCAGCATAAATGTCTCTGCTATCAGATTTCCTCAAGATTAAAACTTTTTCTTCATCAGATTTCTTTCAAGGAATAAAGGCATTAGGGTTTAAATCAGCCTGAGAACCAGGATTTCTCTTCATTTTATTTGAACTTGGTAGTGATTCCTCTATGGAGGTTTATTGAATTAATGTCTCACTCCAAGGATACATTGAGCGCTACTCTTCCCTTACTTAAAGATTGCTTTGAGTTTTATCAAGTTTAGATATGTACCGTTGGGTAAGCTATGGGTTAGGAGCTCATTCAGCTCGTTTCATCAAATGGAAGTTGGTCGCTTCAAATGCAAGATGACTCGAATCTGTGGATTTTATTGAGGTTGAGGTACATAACCTTCATTAGGTCATCTGACTCATTATGCACCATTAGTCAATAGTTTGGCTTGGGATTAGGGATTTCGAGGAATTAGGGTTGTTGTATGGCTTTAAGGCTCTTATCTTCGCACAAGCTTGTTTCGGTTGATTTCTCCATCAATCATTTGTTCGAACTAGGATTTTATTTCCCGGACTTCTTTATCATCCAACTACAGAGATATTCTCTCTCTTCAGCATTAGGTTGCAATCTTTCTTCAATGCTTAAGAATTAGGGTTTTATTTTGTTATGCTTCAACTTGGGTTCATTGGATTAGGGCTCGAACTTGTGGTTATCTTGAGCTTCTCCTTCTTCAACATTGTGGACTTGTTTTGAATGATACAGTTTTTGGTTCTCATCAAATACTTATTACTTCAATTGAAAGTTAACTTGGATTACCGAGAGAAATTTGGATTCTTTGAAACTTCTAATCGTGCTCGAATTTAATATTGATTCAAGGCATCCATATACAAACAAGGGAATTCATGAGTTTTGCATAACTGTCCTAGTTCATTCAAACTCCTTCATGGTCCAAGTTGTAACACGAGGTTCAAAACAAATTCCAAAGCCCATCTTAAGCTTGATATGGATTTCATGTTGTGGCCCATTCTAGTTTGCAAAGTGGAAGTAAAGCTCGAAATTTTAAATAGTGCAAATGGAGAGAAACAAAAAAATACTTCAATACTTGAGTTGGAACCTATACAAAAATTAATCCCATATTACATCCTCGCATGTCATCAATACGATACAAAATAAAAAAAAGAAGTTTGTTTTGGATTGGAGTTTATCATTGAATTTCAAAGATTACAAGGTTACATGGTCATCAAACATCAATTCCATTATCACATCACAAGTACATTACAAAAGGAATTCATATAAAAAAGCCTATACTTTCTACCAAAAATCTATACAATTCCTAATCATGTTGTTCTTAATCCTAAGCTTCATCATAGCCTTAAAATTCTTGCCATGACTCCATGATTCCGCCTTCAATGTCGTGCCTTTGTCAAGCTTGCTCAAGCCTTCATTCAATTTGCTTCCCTGCACA